CAGCTGAAGCCCCATACGAAAAGTTAGCATACCTGAGTGTTATATGTGGAGAAAAGGGCCACAAAAGACCTGAGTGCCCCAATCCCCGCAAAAAGATCAATAATGTAGAAGTGTGTGAAGAGACTGACAGTGAATATGACTCTGGCTCTCAATTTGACGTCATAACCACTGAACCAGGTGAAGAGGAGTCTCATAGGATAGTAGTAATCCAAGCTGATATTGGTGATGAACTAAATATCAATACAATCCAAGGAGATTCTAATTTACCGCAGAAGTGGGATTCCTCCATGAAAATTGGTCATATTTCTGACGCCAAATTACTCACTAATAAGCCAGAAAAAGGTATGAGTTACACTCTGGGAAAGACAAGTTACACCTCTGTTCTATTTGAGGATAAATCATTAAAAGCCTTACTAGATATTGGAGCTTTCTGCTCATGTACTAGTAGCAGCTTCTTAGATGAAATACACCCGGAATGGAAAAATAATTTGCTGCCTGTCCCCAAAGCAAAATTTAGTAGTTGTAATTCTTCAATGAAACCCTTAGGAATTGTAGTAATGCCCTTAATCTTTCCACACTCCAAAGGATCTTTAAGGCTGTCCATAGAATTTGTAGTTCTTCAAGATGCCATTTGTGATTATTTGATCCTAGGAAATGACACTTTTTGCATGTATGGAATTGACATATTTCAGAGTAAAAACAGATTCTATACTATTGGGGGAGACTGGAAAAGGAAATTCCAAATTTGCAATGTGAATATCAAACTACCAGATATACCAGCTGAAATGACGGAAGAAATGATGTCCTTCAAGACGGAATATCTTTCTCAAGCAGCTGTTAGTGATATTCTAGATGAGCAACAGAAATTAGATGTGCTTAAAACTTGCTTCATAAATAAAGAATCCTTTTGTACTACTGAAGAACCTATTGGTAATATAAAAGGGCATGACATGAAGTTAGAATTAACTGTTAAAGAACCTTATCCTCCCATCTTGAGAAGGCCCCCTTATCCTTCCAGTCCCAAATCCAGAGAAGCTTTAGAAACCCACATTAAAGAGCTAATGGAATTAGGCGTGCTGAGGAAAGTTGGACACAATGAACAAGTAGAAATTACTACCCCAGTAACTTCATTGCATTGGCATAATGAGAAGTCAAGAATGGTTGGAGATTTCACGTATGATACGTCAATTACACTAGACCT